TGGTGGGGCAGTATGAAATGCAGCAGACAAGATGATGGCTGCCTGCTCATCCCTGCTCCCCACTGCCAGGGCCTCTCCACCAATCAACATAGAGGGGGCAAGGCTGCACAAAGGGCAACCAGCAAACAAGACGGCAACTGCCCCTTCATCAGGGTAGATAAAATAAATAAACAACCAAACCACCAACCAAACCCCAAAAAACTCATTTTTTTATTTGTCAGATTTTTTGATTTCATCATATTTTTTATTTTTGTTAAGATGCATTAAAAAACAAACAAACCTATACAAATAGTTTTAATTCATGTTAAAGCTCAAAGATATCATCATGGAATAGGGATTATAACTTCTAATTATATACTATGAGACAATATATTCATGTAACCTTTACAGAAAAGTTTTATAAATAGGTCACAACAGGCCATGGACTAAATTAGAGGCCAAATCTTATGGGGTTCCCAGAGGCTCCTAATAGATTAGTAAAGATTAAAGAAAAGCACTCTACGCACAATGCACACGGCAGTGGTGTAAGGTGGTGGCAGCTGCCGCTGCATGCAAGTTTCACCACCCCCTGCATTCTGGCCAGCTGGGCAGCACCTGCGAGGCCCACAGAGGGAAGCCACTGACCTCACCCCCCCCCCCCCCCCCCCCTGGGAGGTGGCGGCACAGGGTGGTGGGTGGTAGCACTTCATCCCCACCCACCCACACATACCCTCTAGCGAGCCCCTTTCCGTGTACCCCTGGTTGACAACCCCTGGTCTAATAAAAGATATCAGATTCACCCAAAGAACTTTGTCTGCCTGTGGAACTTGTGGTAAATTGACACTGAAAGGTAAACTAAGGCCAATCTGTTCTATATGCTGTTTAGTAAGTAGGTGGGTGGTCGGGGCATGGGAACGCAGAGATCAAAGACAGTCTGGAGATACTGCTGGTCAAAAGATTCCAAATCTCCTGTATAGAAATCTACAAACAAAATCTAAATGGAGGAAGACTCTGAAGATGGCAACTTTTTAAAATATTTTACCCCCAAATACTAGGTGCAGGAACTCAGTTTTTTATTCATCGGTCCACAATGAAGTCTAATGCATAAGTTCATATGATTATTTCACATTCTAGCAGGGAACGTAATAGGAAAGAAGGGTTGCTGCAACTTAACTTCAGTTTCTGACTTTAATAAACTAAATTCAAAATAGCACTGCTCTGGTTAGGTTATTTAAGAAATTTCTAACCATGTCAAAGGCTGCCTGGAAATTTTAGACTGAGCACAAAATTAACCATAGTGCATATCATACAATTTAAAAGAACATGGCACTACATGCAAGTGCAAACACAATAACATTTCTTCTTAAACATATTTAAATATTATACCTTTATAGCATGCCAGTGTAAGTGCACTTTCTTTGAACTCATTGGAGTGAGTGTTGATTCCTGCACCATATTCCAACAGTACTCTTGCAACCTCAACATGACCTGCACTGGCTGCTTCCATTAAGGGGGTATGTCCATTCTCATTATGATCTTCTATATTAGCACCTGCTTTCAACAGCACTTTTACTATGTCAACAAATCCTCCAGCACAGGCATAAGTGAGTGCTGTGTTTCCTAAGAGAAGGGAAAACAAACAAAAACTTACAATAAATGTAATTCTTCATGCCTTAACCAGTCCCAAAATGTAAAATAAATCTACTTAAATATTGAGACTATTTTATTTAGCCTCTCTTGCACCATTCCTGTACCACCTTCCCTACCTCCCAGAATTCAAGTTTCTAAATTGGTAAAACACTTTCAGTGATTTTGTCAAGCACTCATTTTCCTGTTCAAATGCAATACCTCTAAGCAGTTTCATTCCCCATCTTCATTTTCAAGCGGAGCTTGACCACAAGTACCTTAGAACATTTCAGCAGACTAGATTCACCATCTTTCCTCTCCAGAGCTTTTGTGATTTTTAAATCACAGCTCTAATACATATCCAGTGCTGGCACAAGTCATTCAAGATGCCACTAAATAACTTGTGTCAGTTTCTTTCCTTCTTTTAGACTACAATGAGCTTCTTTAGCATTCCAGTCTCTCCACTCTAGTTTTGCAATCATGACATGCCTGCAACTTGTTGCAAATTGGTTTTCCTGTAATTAAGCTGTAATGTAATATTTACTGCAATTTGTTATTATTGATTCTTACAGTCCCTATGTATTTGAAACTCATGGTTAGTTAATTCTTTATTATGCAAAATGGTCTATTTTATAGTTAAAAGCAACATATTGCTTTTGTACTCTAATTAGACAGATATATGTCAGAAGACTTCTGGAACTAGCCTAAGCACATATTAACACATTATGCAGAAAAATGTAAAGGGGCGGGCAGGGAATCACTCAACAAATTTAGTTTCCAGAAATGGTATTCATTTAAAGCATCAGACCTTATTTTCAGCCAACCAACTCAAACAACCAAATTATTTTTTTCCTAATTTTAAAAATCAACTTTTGAAACCGGTTCTATTTCAGTTTACAATAGCAATCTGGATAGAAGTACAAATTGGAATTCAGGTGCTAGTTCTTTTTAAAAGTCTGAACAAAGGGGTTACATTTAACCATTTAATTTGGAAAAAAACAAAAAACCTCAAGAACTAACGAGTGCCAGGCAAGGATTTTTGTAGGTGCTATTATGTACTGAACCAACTGCATCTGCAAGGTTAGAATAGTTTTTAAATGCAGGGCATTCTTCCTCAGGTCTCAAATGAATTCCAAACATTTTAGTCAAGGTTAGTTTCTTGACGCATGGAAACATGACGCCATGTTTTTGCTTGGATTTCTTCTTAACATACCACTATCGTACTAAGGAAACGCAAGTATTAATTACTGAATTATAACACTAAATAAGAAAAAAAACAACCTAAAATGGGTATATTTTATTGCCAACCCTGAAATATTGCTTTGGACTATTCCTCACTGGATTAAATGACTTTACATTAAAGTTAACATCAACTTTAAAGAAATACCATCTCGTTTCATTCAGCTGTTTAGGTTCAGGTAAAGCACTGAACAGGAATGTTTATTAAAAATATGTAATAGTGAAGTTTGCTATATACTTTTAAGTAGTTCACACACTATTTTCTGTAACAAAAGCACATGGATACCAGATCCTCCCAAACATGCAAGTCAGGGGAAGAGGCTGATTAACATGTGCCAATCTGGTTAGTTCTCCCACCAGCGATTCCACACTTACCTGTTGAAGACTGAGCATTGACATCGGCACAATGAACAAGAAGCAATTTTACAATGTCAACATAGCCTCCACTGGCAGCTGCCATCAATGGAGTTATGTCTCCTTTATTCCCTCGATCTTCAACATTTGCATGCATCGCTAGTAACACCTATATAAAGCAGAACAAGTTCACTTAGTTCTTAAACACCATCAGAGTTAAAAGCTAGCGGTAGCATTTAGAACTTGGAATCGATCTATTTCACTTCCCTTCCCTACTTCTAAACTCTCTATGAAAGCGCTGGGAGACAAGTAGGTATGGATCTGTCTAAAGCCAAATTGTGATTGCTACATGCACTGACTGAAGCAAAGGACTATACCGTTTTCCTTTTATGCTGTCATATTTATGAATTAAAAAAAAAGAAAGAAAATATTGCAATATACTATTCCAGATAAAGCGTAATTCCGTTTTAAAAAAGTGTTACAACTGATAACTTTTACACGCATGTTAATGATTCCAGAACAATTCTTTCCATATCCAAGTAAACAGGTTTCTTGTAGCACACCAAGTTAGAGATAAGCAAATTAAACTGGGCTTCTTCATTATTTGTAATCCACTATTAGTAATTGCCATCAGTGGAGAAGGTAGAATCAGGATACAATGCAAAACTGGCCCTGGGGTCAGAATTTAGTTAATGTAGATATGTAAGCCACGAGAAAAAAAAATAAAAGCAACTGAGAAAGTGATAACATAAAACAAAAAAGTAATTTTTTTGTTTTGTAGTAATCTTCAGAGGTTAGACTTTAAACATACTTGGCCACAGAAGTAGACTTCATCTAATATGCCAGGAAACTAGAGGTAGATCAAAGATAATATACAGGACATACCTTTTAAACAGTATAATTTATGTTGCAATATAAATTTATTACCTACCCTTATATAAAAGGCATAATTTAGTGAAAAACCTGACAAAGTTTACAGCAGTAACCTTTACATGCAGTAAAAAGTTAACGTATTTGTTGTTTTACTTAATACTCCAATTTAGAAAACAACATTTTTCTAATCAAAAGGTGTAAAACTTTTACTTGTCAAAGTACCTCAGCTGTATAATACTCCCTGAGGTTAGATCATAAGTGATTGTGCATTTCCTACTTACTTGTGCCAATTCATAATACCCAGCTGAACAGGCCAAGCAAAGAAGGCTCTCCCCTTCTTCAGTATGTTCATTTACATTTCTTCCTTCATCCAATAGCTTCCGAACAGCATTTACATCCCCATCTGAGCATGCTTCTGCCAAACTGCGGCTGGAAAAATAGTTTACCATATAATCAAAACGCATGCACAATTCCACAAGAGGCAGGTAGTCGGTTTTGATACAATAAAATCAAGTGCACAACAGAAGACTTTCACCTAAGTGAACTAGACACATTAGCTGGCTGTTAATACTTGAAGCATTTTACCAGAAATCTATAGAAAGATGAGACTCACTACCTACATAGGAGATAATGCCTTTTTACAGACAGACTGGGAAGGACAGGGGGTTTTGGCCACATCTTACTCTGCCTATTCTGCCCTATTGAAAGTCCTTGAAAATCCATTAATACATCTAATTTTGTAACATGCTGCCATCTTAGCCTGAAAAAAGTATATCACAAGAAAACTGCAATTTGAAGGATCCAGTTGTCATCTTTTGTATTAACAGTTTTCCAGAGATTCAGGCAGAGTGGAAAATTATGAGCCTAACACGTACAGTAGGATCTGGTCCCTTGTCTACAGTTGAAGTTAGCCCCAATTCCCACAATCAACTGACATGAAAGTGTGATGCTAAGCCCAAGTTCAAACAAGACATATCCTAATTTACAACAACATAGTTACATCAAACAGCTATTAGTTTAACTGTGCAAATCATAGATTCCTTTGTATACACCTGGGGTTTGCACCAATGCAGCTGTGACAGTAGCTAGCCATCAAGTCCAAGAACTAAGGCAAATTCCCAGTATAAGAGAAAAGGCCAAAGTAAACAGTTGAAAGTCACAGTAATTAATACCACAGAACAAGGACTAAACCAGGCCTCCTAATTCCAGTCCTCTGCTCTAAGCATAAGACTATTTCCTATTCTGCACTCTGAAGTAATTTGTTCCAAGTATCCTTTTTTATTTAAAAATTTAGACAAGTTTTGTAAATTAGAAATATTACTGGAAATATCTCGTAATATGATTTTTGACCTACCAAATCATTAACTAAGTTTTAAAATATTTTGAAGAATTTAAGTATGCTTATTCTAATAGTCCATGTTATATTTATTCCACCTCAACTAGGACTTACTAAAATCAGCCCCTAGGGCATTGGATATTTATTGTTATTGAATAAAAACAAAGACCTAAATGTGGGAAAAACATAAATGCCATGGCTGAGCCAGCGCTGGAGAAGATCTACTGAATGTCCAAGCAGTATGCGAAAAGCATGAACAGTGAAGGAGGAAGAAGTGGGCAATAAGAATGAGGTGTGAAAATGAGGTCTAAATCACAAAGAGGAAGAAACTACCATGGTATTACTACACTGTTTTCCCATATGCTTCATCTCTCATTCCATTACATTGCACAATTACAAGTTATAGCATAGGGAGAATGAGCGCTCGGTAGTTCCTGCTCCCTCAGGATCCCAATTCTGAGGGAAAAAAATAGATAAGCATGGGCTTCTGCAGAAGAGTTTTCAGACCCCACATTATTAGCAGCATAAAAAATTATATACAAATGGAATCATTTAATTAAAATTGTCCTTAATTACAGCTATTGCTTTAATTAAAAGAGCAAAAATTCTTACTTGTAATTACTATTCAGCATGGCATACCTCAGGATCTTGGTACCATTAAAGACCTCAAAACTCTTTACACAGTGTTTAAACAGCCTTGAGACACTACTATGGAAAGTATAGTGTATTTAACACCTCTTCCAGACAACAATGTTGACTGAAAAACCTCAAATACCTCAAACTAAAATATTAAAAAGGATGCATGACAGGAGTCGAGTCTAAGGAGGATACTGGCATAATAAAAAAGTACCTTATTTGGGCTTCAAAAACAAAGCAAAAATCTCCTTTATAGTATGCCACTGGAAACTACAGTTGGGTAAAACAAAACAAGGATCTTAGGCCACAAACAAACATGACCCGAAGCAAACTGGAAAAAACCAGCCACTGGTCTTAAAATAATTTGAAATTATTTGTCCTTTAAGTCTTACTCTGCACTGAAAGCTCAATTCTGACAGAGTCAGCAACAGATGCAACTGAACCAGTGCTGAATGATCTTTATCTGCAAGTGTGAACAAGGTCAAGCCATGTTCACCACCAATTCAGGTGCATTTGTTTCAATAATCCATTATTAATAAATGTATTATAACAGTAGTAATAATAATAATATAATAATCATATAATAATAATAATGTAACTATTATATAATGTAGGCAGGGCACTGATGACTTGCAAGCAACTAAAACCTAGACTACCTTTACATTCTCACTAGCTTGAGAGAGAAAAGCCACATGCCTTCTCCTACACAAGGAATAAAGATAAGGGATTTTATTTTTCAAAGGCGCATTTGGAGCAAGTTTGCCTTTTTCTTTTATTCTGCATATGCAAACTTGCTCCAAAAATTTCTCAGCTGTGACTCTCCAGGTGTATAATCTTAGGCAGGAAGAAATGCACTGTTTACCTCAGAAACTCCCCCCCCGCAAATTATGATAATTAGTTAAAAATTAGAAGAGACTTCTCCCTCTCTCTAACAATGAAAGTATCATTGCTTCCTAAATAAGAACTTCCCACACATCATTTACCAGACTGAACCTTTTGTCCAAAAATGTAAATAACTACAACAGATACTTAAAAACACCCAGGTGTTAAATCTACAACCGACATGGGGACTGACATTCTGGATGAGACTCTTGGCCCACGTTGTCAGCACTACTCCTAAGCCAGCCCAGAAGCTACAGCAAGATCCAAAAAGCACTTCTAAAGATGGCTTTTGAATAATCTAATTTGATCATAAAGATCTCATCCTAATTCATAACATAGATTTGTTTGAGCCCTAGACTACTTAATTTTATCTTGGACAAAACTTGCTTTCCATTAACTCAAGATTAACTGGCGAGTTGACTATCAGATTCTAGTTAAAACATAACACTTTTAATAAAACTCCTCTAGTTTGCTATCAGTTTAGGAATTGTCCACTGCTATTCCCAAAACCAAAATGATCCAAATGATTTCTATGAATTTAAAATTTTCTAGACAATTCCAGTGGTTAAACTGCACGTAACACTGTGTGAAATGTTATGACTTTTTAGCGTTTGAGATTTGAAAACTGGCCGCTATTAAATAGGAAAACAGGTTCCATCATTAGCAGAGATTCTGGTTTTCTCCATTTAAAAATCCAAAATTCTCTAACAAAACACAAAATTATCCGATTAGAAACCCCCCAAATCCATGTTTTTCCATGATTAAATAAAACACCACTATATATATAGGTATCAACTGAATACAATTTTTATTGATATATTTACAATTTTAAAGCAATTTGGAAGCCTACCACTGCCTCAGTCATTATAATAAAATACATTCTAAATACCTATACATTCTGGCATTTGATTTTGTTTTTTTCAGAGCAAGAGCTCCCCCTGCCCCTTCACTCACCAGGACATGGGTCCAGTTGCAGATGCTCCCCCCCCGGACCCCCTTTGCAGCACTAAGCAGCTTTGATATGTCAGTTCCCCTCACTTCAAACCCACAGCCTCCAAATCCGCCCCCCGCGACCTTCACTCCCGACCCATGGTCCCCCATCCCCACCAGTGCCTCTAACTCACAACCCATACTCCCCCCACCAAACCCTACTGGTGCTCTTCACTCTTGACCCACAGCCCCCTGGCCTTCCCAGTGTACCTCACTCCCAACCCACAGCCCCCTGGCCTTCCCAGTGTACCTCACTCCTGACCCACTGCCCCCCACCCCCAGGCCCTAGCCCCCAATGTGTGAGGAAGGGGGTGGGAATGTGGGGAAAGGGGGAGGAGGGGTGTGGGCTCAGGCGACATGGAGGGCAGGTTACCACCCCCAGATGATTTCTGCACCCAGTGGACTGCAGCGTTGCAGCCTGGTCGGACCAGCCTGGTTGGGTCCCATCTGCAGCCCAGTCAATGGGACCCAGTGTGGGAGGGAATGCCATGCCACCATGGTGACGCATGGTGGCAGCATAGAGTTGTACACCCCACCCCACAAACTCCTGCCAGGCAGGCAGGTCTCACCTCACCTTGGTGGCCTGACTGGCACGGCCCTCCCTCCCATACTGGGTCCTGCCCACTGGGCCACAGAAGCTGCTCTTGCCCAGAGCTGGTCTGGCCAGGTTGCAGCTCCAAGCCCCAATGTGGGCACAGAAATCGGGAAGGAGGAATGTGCCTCCCCCCAACCTGCGTCACCTG